GGTCGCGTAACGCGGTCCATTCGCCTGATCGGAAATACAGAGTTCTGATATATTACTTTCTACCTCCTCAAGTCACATTCCAATCTGTCTGCGCTTGGAAGCAGCCTAAGCACAAGCAAATCAGTGTTGGGTCTGTCACCTACTTAATGTCGTAGTTAAAATAGGAGCCTAAAAGGTATTTTGGAGAAGAAAGAAAAGGAGGAGGTGGAGAAGGAGGAGTCAAATGTGCAAAGCTACTAGAACTTGGGACTAAATGCCTCAAGAGGTCTTCGATCAGTTTATACGCCAATGAATGCATACACTTTGTCCTTATGTCTAAGTCACCATGGCTCTTCGCAATACGCGCCTACACCTTCCTGAATATGACCACAATCAATGACAACTGGAGTAAACAATGTTGGTCAATCGGCGATTTATTCCAGCAGATATGCCAGCGCAAGCACCTTCACCATCAATGGTGGCCAAATAGTGGATGAAAACCATCGATTGGAGGTTGATTTGACTTGACAGCCCCGTTGATGTGTCGATTCAATGAACCTGTCTACCCCGACCAGATTCCTCTCTCTCCTTGTAGTGATTACCACTTCCCATCAAGCTGTGAATCTATTTTCATCCCACAAACAAGTGGTTACAGCGTTACTCTTTCGTATACCTCTAGCCTGAGGAAGTTAGCATTCCACTCTCAGTCTGCACAATAGTCGTGAACTGAATGTGACAAAATACAAAATTAGACTTTGAAACGGCCAGCCAGATGATCGAAATGGACTTTGTGATGCAAAAAAAATAGAATAAAAATATGCCAAGAAAGTCGGCTTGTTTGGGTGGATGGTGCTTAATGGAAGTTGTTTGTCCTCCACCCCAATGCAAATCATGAATGAGGCGACCCTTTTTAATACTGCAGAGCTCCTATGGGTGCGTCATTTCGAAGCCTCCTGTTTTTAAGACAAAGTCCCAATCCGTGTGTTAAAGGAGAAGTTGGGTTGGAAAAGTGTTATAATCGTTTCTGAGAATTACAATACCTTCGTCCTGATTTCACACTTTTCAGTCACAGCCACACGTCCATCGTGTGTATTTACGCATGCCTCGATGTTTACACCATCGCCTTAAACGGTTCACAAGACTCACCAGACAGGTAGGCCAAGCGCTCGCCCTTAAGAGTCAGTACTCGTGCAATAATGCTGGTCATTGCAGTTATGCATTTAACCACGCGCATCAACGCTAGTGATTTTGCTATTTCTATTTGATACTTTTCAAAATTCGCATAAAGCCAAGAAGACCTACCAGGATGGAATGGCGGTGAGGAGACCATGCCATCTTTTGCCGACTAGACAGCGGTGGAATGCTGCAGAAGAAGAGCTAAATGTGCTGAGACCAGCATCATTTGTCATATACCTCAATTTTGAGTTAATGATAGTAAATTGTAGAAGGTAGAGATAAGGTTTAGGCAAATAAAAATCGTCCTTCCAGAAACCATTGCAATGGTTTTGAATAAAGTGACCATGATATCTGCCCTAAGACTAACACAAACCTGGACCTTACTGGAGTCAAAACAGCTAAAAGGTGAAATGCTGGAATGGTAAGTGGAGACAGTCGTGACGTTTCATTCCTTAGGGTACAATAGACGAAAAAATGACTTTCCTCTAAAGTACACAGGACACTACGTTGCGCACGATCTCTTACAACAGAACTCCATCACATCGTGAAGATGAACCCTTCAAAATTTGTGAAACCTAATACAACTTTTCACCCACCTCTCGTACCTCAGATATCTACCTTGTAATGGAGGAAGAACTGGTTTTGGAAGTCCTAAGCATAGCAATCACAAGGGAGTGCCCTTCCTCCTCCTGACCTCGCATGGAGTCCCAATCAGTATTGGTGATTTCAAAAGCCTGCTTTACGCTCATAACGTAAATCCTATCGTACAATGCCACACACCACCACTGCACGATTGAATCTATACTTGACCAGAAAAGGAAACAATATAACTAAATAGAGATTTCTTGATTCAAACAACCTCGAGGGAAGCATAAATAGGGAATAGTGAAAGAATAGTTTTCGACAACGTCAAAGAAAGGAAAAGTATATCAAGGATACTGCTAAAGAAAAGAGGAAACGTGCAAGCACCACGGCAGCAACGAACATACAGGTCAACAACACTGATGGGAATGCGACTTGAGGTGAGACACTAATGTGCGAACTACGTAATGTCCTCCTCATTGTTAAGGATCTTCTTCAATTTTAGTAACATTTCAGTCATCCAAGGCTCCAGTCTTGTAACGCTATCGTATTCCTTCACAGCAGCTGTAAAGGTCTCGAGATTCTCGGAGCTCAAAGCTTCATCAACTTTCTATAAAGATTAAATAACACCTACTTGTAGTAATCCAGTAACATTATTTCAACGAAAATAAATTCATTAGGGCTACCATTCAGAATAAATTGAAGGCTAACAGAAGCCTCATATCAGTAAAGAGAAAAATTTGGCTATGGTCTTCCTTATCACGTGACTGAACTTGCCTTAAGAAGAGTGCATTCGCGTGAGTCAGAAAACATAGGATAATCTTGTTCGAATTTTTCAAGAGTGTTGTGGCCTTTCACGATATCGTAGTTCATATCGCAAATTACAGCTTTCATAAGGTACTCTTTGGCCCCGTAGCGCAATAATTTGCTTTCCATTGAAGAGACACCAGCCTTAGAAAGGTAAAAGACAAAAGATAAAAAGAGAGAATTGGTCGATAGAGTAATCAGACAGGTACAAACCTCTTCAAAGATTCGCGCAGCCTTTTCAAACTGTCCAGATGTGGCATAGTAGTGCGCTACCTTGAGCATGCACTTCCTTGCTGAACTAGTAGAATCCTCACCTTTGTAGAAATCAGCAGCCCGTTCATAATGCTTGCAGGCCTCAGCCTCATTGGCTAACTCCTGCTCGTAGATATCGCCAATAGTCATGTGGTGCTTGGCAGCAATTGTAAAACGACCCATTTCGATGTATATGTCCGCAGCTCGAGTGAGACAAGTGATGGCGCGGTCGGGAACGGATTTACGGTAGGCCACCGAGGCGTTTACGTAATGAGTAGCGGCATCCAACTGAGATTTATTACTGGAGCTTAGCTCGGCGGCTTGCACAAAGGCATCTCCTGCCTCCTGCCACTTGTGGGCCATTTTAAAACAGTTTGCAGCACGCTCATAGAGGGCAATGCGCTCCTCCGTTCCATCAGAACCACTGGCATGGAAGAAAACAAACCCATACGCGACTCCAGAACAAAACAGCAAGATCAGAGAACGGAAAGGAAGAGGGCAACAAAGAGGGAAAACTCCGATAACTGTTAAATTAATGATAACAAAGGAAGCAGTTGAAAAGACGAAGCGCATAAAGTACAATAACTTCCCCCGGATTTCAAAAATTGAATAGCATTGTAACCAAAAAAAGTTACAGTGACAGATCAAATTTGGCGATAGCAGTACAAAACACGGCACTATCGTTTGGCAAGAGAGCACAAACACAAACTACTAGTGCATTTCACAAACCCCGAGAATATTGAACGGAAGAACCCTCCCTTTGGATGCTTAGCAGCGCTAGCTAGATACTCATGAGCCTTCCTTTCATTTTCATCCATCTTGCAACCCGACAACCGAGCGGCACGTCACCAACAGGTTGAGGATGCATTATGCGGAGCATCATCATCAGCACATGACGATACAGAGTTACTTATTTTTGAATCGAACGAACAGATTTATAGGCATTAAATAAAAATTTGCCGTTTTATAGATAAAATGATTTGCTAAGGTTACATCAAAGGATAAGTAATCAGTTATTTATAAAGCTTTGTCGTGATTCGTACAATAAGCATTAATGATATTTAGATGTAGGGAAAGAATGTACTCCTTGCAGACTTGCTTGTATATGGCTTATTTCAATTTTATTTTACCCTATGCTAAATGTTTTACTTCCAATCGTCAGGTCACTGCATACTTTAAGAATCGATCTGCAATATTTTGTGTCTGTTCAAAGAAGGTCCTACTAAAGGTATTTTTATTGTGCGCTTGCTAATCGAAGTTGGTTTGCAAGGTGCAGCACTCCAATAGACATTAAGCTAAAACTGAACACAGTACTTTGTTAATGTAACCACCTGACGTCTGACGTTTACTCTAGTAATAGTCTTGCTCCTGCACGCGTGGGTTGGTCTTCGGATCAAGCCGAATGTCATTCATTTCTTACTATCATAGAAAACTCGATGTTTTCTTCTACCTAGCAGAAAATCTCGAAGCGCCACCTCAAATACATAATTCTAAGCGAATAAGATGGAATTGGGATTTAGCTCGACCCGAAGGCTGGCCTACGCATACAAGGGCAAGACGAGTATCGAAACAACTGCCAGACATCGGATAGTCGCGTAAAAAAAGCTAAACAACACTCTTTGTTCATGTGCTATTTATTTTAATCAACTTACTATTTTATGTTTAGTGATAGTTTGATACTCTTAAATTACTTATAAGGCATCAAAATCGGCCGAAGCCAACTATTTGTACATCAATTCAGATAGTTCTTTCCATATTCTATCCAGAGAAGATGGAACATATCAACTAACTGCATGATTTGCAGTCACACTTAGCTGAGTTGGCTGGCCTTCAGATCAAACCGGAGATTCCCGCCTTCCCCTTTCCCTCTGGATGAAAGCATCCAGCTACGCTGAATACCTTCGACTGACAAATGGAAAGGCTTGTCAGATAAAAAGAGATCTCCTCAATCCAATATGCGCGCTTCATCTTGCTAGTGTACAGAAAACGGCAACACCATCTTCCAATTTATTAAACAGTACCCTTGTAAACTAGACACGACATCGTCACAGGATTTCCAAACTTCTTCGTTGTTCTCCCAGTTATTCCAACCTCCCAACCGTTCTGTGCCATGACATAGTCCAATGCATCTCCCTTGTGGCTCAGGATACTGTACCTCCCCTCTCAGGATGCATTTCTCCGTTTTGACTCGAAAAATGACACTACCGATACCCCTACCACTCACTCGAGCATCAGCTGTCTGAGTCACGTTGTGACACTACCGCGGGCCACCCACACGCTGATACCTCCTAAACCAGCTTACACACACCAAAACTAGCATTAGTCTTGAGTAACCTTTCCCATCATCAACCATATTGATTAGCAGGCTTAGCGAATTCATGCATACCACTTATTTATGTGGTACCCTTAGACCTTAAAACTGAGATGTTGAGGGAGTATGTGGGTGGAATCTATATCCTGCCGTTATAAGCACAAATACGTCAATTTGAAGACTTCTACAATGAGTATTTCACCACAGTTATCTGCACAAGAGTGGGCGTGAAGTCCCACACTAGGTTACGAAGCCCCCTCAATATTGTGCTGGTGTATGGCGATTGGCCCAATTTGGGTTACGTTTATGTGGTGAAAATGGTAATGGATTTCGGTTACTATTCCTGTATAATCTGTTCTATAACTACATCGACCAGTTCAGATCTATAGGTTACGTCACCATTATGGCCATCAAAACATTTCTTTCACCATAATTTGCCATTTAAAATTAAATCGTAGTCAAGAATGTTATCTTTAAATTGGACAAGACCCAACTGTTGGTCAATGTGTAAAACTGTACAGTACCTTAGGGATCGCTGCTGGCAAGGAGGGTTGAGGTGAATTCAAATATTAGTTCAAGAGAAAGCAGGTTTAAAAGGATCAACATTCGCAGGTTTTATGCCGAGCAAAGCAGCGCCAACAAAACTCGTATTGGCATCTGCGACAGGTCATGTGGTTGCAGCCTCCATTTTTCTAAAATACACGCACATACCGAAGTTGTACCAATTCGTGGATTTAAAACGCCCTCTACCCCTAACCTACTCACTTTGCGTGACAAGAGAAATTGACGGAAAAGGTAAAATATTATGCACATGCTTAAACTAATTATAACAAAAACCCATTAAACACAGGCATGTTTTGGGATGGAAATAAATCTTGTAAACTCGGGGAAAGGCATTTGAAGCAGGTACTTCAACGAAGACTGCAATTAGCTTCAGTAAAGTGGTTGTAGGGATTTGCATCATTTAAGACAACCAAGCATATCCAGCAAAAATTCTTTCGACATGACGAACACATCACACGATTGCAGCCGGTGTATTTCTGTATTGAGGCGAAAGGCACACACATGAAATAAGAAACATAAAGACTAGTTCTAAGCAGACCAAAAGGTGGATGATAAAAAACAAGGACTGCTAAAATGCTACAGGTGAAAATTGCTCACAGACAACTGCAATTTAAAGAAGATGCATAACTCACCAAAATAGGCGACTTGCAATTGGGACAAGGTTTGCACTGGACTGCTATGAAAGTAGCTGAAGCTACCTCATCGATAAGTTTAAGGATGTTGAGTTTGCCGTACTGCGTGTCAAGCATATTTTTGCCATCCGGACCGGCGTTATTGTAGCGCTCAACCAAATCGCGAGCTAGAGGAGAAAAAGAATTGGGGAAATGATATTCATTTCCTTTTTACTCCTGATTAAGCAGTTGATAATAAATTTATAAGTACCTTCTTCTGGAGTTAAGTTGGTGAGGGGTCCAGATATACAAGCAGTGTCTGGGTGAAAGTGCTGTCGACACTTCGCGCAGAAATGAAACATACAACGTGCGCATACACCTTCTGCGAAGTCGTCGTTCAGCATGACATGTGGATTCCCGCATTCTGCATTGGGACACTCGACCACGTTTTTCATTGAGCTCAGTGTTCGGTTGAGAAGCATCGTCTCGTATTGTTCGTAGACTTCAGGACTAACAATCTGTCTTATCTAAAAAGAAATTTATCGGTAAATAATCCATAGCTGACAGCTTCTACAAAGACTATGACAACTAGCTACCTCCACTGGATGTATTTCCTTATCACATGAAGCGCATAGTGGTGAGCCGGAGTTAGCCCCACTTTTTACACTCTCAGCAATAGATTTAGCCGCGCAATCCTTGCAAAAGATGTGATTACAACCCCTCAAGCGTATGCATCTGGTACCTTCACATTCATCAAAACAAATTGGACATTCATAAACTCCTAGTTCGAATTCTCTATCTCGCATTTCCTCTTCAAAGTCGACCAGGGTTTCAACAAATTGACAACGATCTTCAGGCCGATCAAAGAACTCAAGAGCATTTATTACCAGCGATGTGGGATCACCCAAACTAAACAAAGAGGAGAGAGCAACATTCTGAAGGTATTCGCAACACAGTCCAAGAGAACCGCCCGTAGAAGTGGCCGTCATAACATTGGACAAATTAGCCGTAAGTACTTCAACAAGCGTGGACGGAAGCCAAGCAGACTCAATCCAGAAGGCGAAATTCGGGTCTTGTGGATAGTCGCCATTCAGCTGGAAATTGAAGAATATTGGCGGCAGGGACGTAAGAACATAGGTCATTACATTATTGGAGGAATCAAACATGCATATATCCGAGTACTTGAGATTGCGACGAATGGGAGGACCCGAGAGATAAATGTTATGCTTCTTAAAATATTCCGATTTGTATTCACCCGACAGTTCATCCACGCTGTTTATCTTAAATCGACCGTTGTGCATTTCCAAGAGCACGTTCATTTCTGCAAGAGCCATTTCCCTGTTATTTCTTGCAACAGATTCTGGTGAAAGACATGGTGGTTTTTTTATAAGCTCTTGAATCACGTCAGCCATGATGGAATGCAAATCTTCCAATAAGAACAACCCACCCACAACCTATGAACAATCGTAGGAAATGCCTGCCAACCTTGTGGAAGGCGCGAAGGGCATCAAGTAGCTTAAACATTATACACATCATTATCTCTATGATCCAATAAACATTGTCTAATATTCAGGTTTTGCATTAAAATTAACTCAGCGAAAATTTAAAAACGAAGTTATCTATAAATTAATACTGAAAATGAAGCAAGAGCTAACTTAATTCACATAGAAGAAATCTACCAGTTATTAAGAACACCTGAAGCACCTGGTCGAAGAATGCACTAAGTCAGCACAATATGTATTTCTAGAGGTGGAGAAGAGATAGCCCCTTGGATTCGCCTGAAGGCCAGCCCATGTGTACAACAAAAAACAGTATTGAAGCATCCACCAAGCATCAGGTGTTCGCATAAACAAATTACTTTTGTACCATTCATGTTTAAAGATGATAATGCAACGTCCAAATGTGTTATTAATGTTTTAATA